AAAGTGGCAGCCTGGGTCTTGTGGAGCATGTGTGTCTTTGTGTGTTTGAGTATGTATATTTGTGTATGTTTACTTATAAGTAAGAACAAGAATCCGAAAGTTTAGAATCCCACCAGTAGTCACTTTAAAAAAACTTTTTTGAAGCCTGAGTATTTGGCATAGGAATTAAATCCGAATCATAATGGGTGAGTAGTGGACCAAGGTATTAACCGCTGCTGATAGTTTATAGTGGCTGTAAGTTTGAAATGATATCATAATGCAGAGAAATATTGAGCTAGAAGAGACAAAATAATTAAAAGAAATGAAGCTCCAATGAACAGTTGATCACGCCTTAATGAGCAGTAAGAATTGATGAGGTAAAAAATGTTAGCCTGCTCCAAAAGATGTGTCCCTACTTTAAAAAATAGTCAGACAGATAGAAAAATCATTTTGCAGTTTAGTGATAATTAGCATACTAGTGCTTTCTTAAATTCCTGTGAAAATGATATTTCTTATATTTTTATCTTATACAAGGATAGACTCAAGGGAACTTAGTGCTCTAAGGGAAAACACATTATTTTTGGATTTTTATCTTTAAAAATTAAAGTAGAATTACATAACTTTATCTCACCCCTTTCCTTTCTCCAGCTTCTCCTAGCTGTCCTTCTTCAAACTCCTGCCATATCCCCTACTACTCACAAGTTGGTAGCTTTTTTCCCTTTGATTGATTGTTTTTGTTTCATGAACACATATGTCTGTCTGTCTAACTGTCTATCTGTCTATCTGTCTATCTATCTATCTATCTATCTATCTATCTATCTATCTATCTATCTATCTATCTATCTATCCTAGTCTGTGTATTTTTGTTGGTGGGGTATATATGGTTTCAAACCTGACTACTCTGAGTTGAGCATCACTGGAAGAGGCTAATTTTTCTCTCCCAGTAGTCATTATTTGTCTGTAACTCTTTGTTAAGTTTTGAGAATTCAAAACCCTGTGAATTCCTCCCCTCCTATATTAGCATGTCTATTTGGTATTGCTCTTGTTCCTATCTTATTTATGCAGAGATTTCTGGGAGTGACTGTTTGATGGAGTAGTTCCTTGTATCCTGCCTCTTACAATCATTTTGTCCATTCTTCTGAGATATTCTGTGAGTCATAGACTCAAAAGTTCTAATGTACATGTGCCTGTTGGGCTTCCCATATCTGTTGATCTCTGAATTGTATCCTGTTGTGGTTCTCTGTTGAGGTCTCCATTTGCTGTAAAGTGAGGTTTCTTTGGTGAGGGATGGTAGCTACACTTATCTGGAAAAAACACATATGAATTTCCTTTCTTTTCTTTCCCTTTGCTTTCCTTTGCTTTCCTTTGCTTTCCTTTGCTTTCCTTTCCTTTCCTTTTTTTCTTTTCTTTTCTTTTCTTTTCTTTTCTTTTCTTTTCTTTTCTTTTCTTTTCTTTTCTTTTCTCTCCCCCACAATGAGTCTCACTATGTAACAACATAAGCTGGTCTTTATGATTTCACTGCTTTACCACTGGGATAACAGAAATGTGCTACAATGCCTGGCTACAAAGCTGGTTCCCGACCATCAGTTCAGTTCATGCTTTTCTGAGTAGCAAAGCTAGAATTTCCATATCTTTTAGTTACAATTACACATTGTCAATGAGCTACAGCTAGCAGAAGGTTATTAATGCCTTCCCCAAGTAATAACAGATATAGTAGTGGAGCCCTTGGGTCTTTGGAATGGATTACATGTTATAAAGCACAAGAACACTCCACTTTTAGCTTTATACTCAGTTTGATGAACACACTCATCTCGTGCTTTACATATAGATTTGAGGAGGAAAGACCAAGAAGGCTAGAACACTTCTGTGAACTCAGTCTCCTACACAAAACTGCTTGCTGCGGTGGGTGGATGTTCAAGATGTTGTAGCTGATCTCTTTGGATAATTTTATCCTTATCAATCACAGATGGTTACTAGATTTCTAGACTTTAAACTTTGCTGATAAAAGTGCCCAGCAAGCACCCACAGGTACTCCAGGACACTTGGGAATATCTTTATCTCTGGTGTGAGATTAATACATTACCTATCTTGAGATTTCTGTTGTGACAATGGTCATGATTTTGTCCCTTGGATATGCTGCTACAATAGATGAAATATACAACACACATTTTATGAACTATTAATCTCACCTGCTCCAAAACATCTCTTCGAATTCTTCCACATATGGAATCATAGAACCTGACAAGGACATTGCTAGGTCTCTAGATGTGATGTGTTAGCTCTTAAGAAGGTCAGCCATCATTTGATCATGAGCGTGACTGGGAGTGCTGTTTCGAAGCCCTGGGGAGAGTACTGGCTGACCTTCTGATTTGTTTGTCAAGCTTGTCTGAGATGACATGCAATTCTGTTTGCTTTTATGTGAAAGCACACAACACAGCTGGAATTCAGAAGAGCTCAAGTGAAATGCTTCTTGATTTGTTTTTCTTCCTAGCACTTCGAAATGGACAAAGCCATTTCTTTGTAGTATTGTCAGGATTTGAGAGCCTCAAAATGTAAGATAAAGGTGGTAGTGGAAAATGCTCAGCCATTAAACCATCTATTGAGCAGCATTCAAGTCTTCTGTACGACTTCTTGTAGGAAATATGACAGTTCTGAATTTCTTTCAGAATCAGGATTTATCTTCAAAGCAAAAATTTTAATTCCAAATCCATTGCAAGATATGGGATTATACAAATCTAGGTTGCATGAAGATAATTTCAGAGGTATAGGGAAAAAATAAAACAAATCAATCATATTTAAACAACACATGAAAGTTCTCAGTCTATCAATGAATACTGGTTAAATTTGTATCAGTGCTAACCTCAGAAGAGCAAAACATCAATGGTGTATAGTGTGAGCAGCAGAACTTGACAAGATTATTGAAAACTACTTCCTTACCATTTCCTGTGATCGGTACAATTAACCAAATGACATGTAGTTTGATTGCCTGCGTGCTAGCCTGGAACACTGAATCTCACAGTTCGTTAGCACAAACTGTTAGATGTTCCAACTCCCAGGCATGGTTTTGTTTGAAACAAACAACCTCAGGACGGTAGTAGATTAAGCAAGTTATGGATTCTAAACTGTTTTTCAATTTAAATTATTGAGGAATACATAATACGCCTTGATTCGCTTAAGAACCTTGTTAATAAAATTTCTAAAATGCTTTGATGTGTTATATGGCAAATATTCTTTTATTGTAAAAATATTTATTTGAACAAAATAAAGTATATAGGAATAGTTTTTATTGTACAAATATCCATTTCATTAAATGAAAAAGAAATTAAATATCTCAAAAATGTTAAATACCTCAGTGTGTAAGTAGATTTAAACTTACAAACCATGAATTTTATAAAGTAGAAACATAAAACAAAAAGTTAATGTTTGTGTTACCTAATTATAGACAAATTCTTCAGGAAAAATTTAAGAAGAAAAGTTCTATTCTGTCATGCTTGATTCCTATTTTGACCTTTTGGCAGAAACAAAGGTTTTGTTTTTGTTTTTTGTTTTTTTCTTGTTTGTTTGTTTTTTGTTTTTGTTTTTTGTTTTTGTTTTGCTTTTGAGACAGGGTTTCTCTGTATAGCCCTGGCTGTTCTGGAACTACTCTATAGACCAGGCTGGCCTCGGACTCAGAAATCTGCCTGCCTCTGCCTCCCAAGTGCTGGGATTAAAGGCGTGCGCCACCACTGCACGGCAGAAACAAAGTATTTTAAAAACATTTTATTGATTCTTTGTGAATTTTACATCATGTATGCAAGTCTCACTGATCTCCCATCCACACTTCACCCTTGCAACCTCCTCTCCAAAATAAAATAAACAAACCATCACCACCACCACCACCACCACCACCACCACCACCACCAACAACAGCAAAAAGCATAGAACGAATTTCATTATAGAAGGTGTCCCACAGTATATCCCTCTGTCCACACATCTTCACTTGCAAATGTCATTGCAGTGAGCCATTAGACTGGTTCAAGATCTCTGGCTTCTGTGATACCATCAATATTGAATCCTCATCAGGACTCCTCCTGATTTATTTTGTTGTTGCCCTATATCATGGGAATCATGCAGCTTTGGATCAGCAGAACTGTCCCATTCACTGGTCACAACCATTCTCCGGATGTAGATTTTGGGGTGAGCCAACTCAGAGCCCTGGGTCTGGACCTGGGTGGTAGCTGATCTGGTCAGCACACTGGTTCTTCCTTATACACTGGCTCTCCCTCATTCTCACCACCAGGATAGTGTGCTTTCCAGCACTGCTCTAGCTAGGCCACCCCATGTGGTCATTGGCATGAAACAGAGTCAGATCTCCTGCTCCCATGCCCTTCCAGTTAGCTCACCCACACCCATACCTCAAGAGCCAGCTACATTTTTGCTGCCTAGGTGGGGCACAGGTCCTGCTGCTGAATGCTGTTGTTGATTAAAGATGAAGCGAAACCAGCTCTCCATTGTTCTTCAGCCAGAGGAACAGGGCCAGTTCTCTAAAGCCCCTGGATATCCAAATGCTCCCTAGCAGCTGCCCCAAACAAGAACATTTCCATGTTCTCTATTGGTAATATGAACCATGGGCATCAGCACAGACCCCTGGTACTGCGTAGCCACAGACTCATATATGACCTACATTGGGACCTCAGGTTCGGGCTTCACCCTGGTCCCAGGTGGCAGAGCTGGCCACTCACAACAGGCTACTCTTCTTGACCACCAGTCTCCAATTTCATCTCTCTTCATAATGCTCAAACTGCTCCACTTCTCTTTCTCTCTCGTCTGACCAGCACATGCTCACACATAGTGGTGGCTCCCATTTCAGGCTGGTTGCTCAGCTGGTCGCCCTTGGGTAACAGTCTCTGTCTGTGCTGTGTGGTATGGTAGCAGGCAAGTATCTATGGCAGGCTTGTGCTGTGCACTGGAGGGTAGGTCTGTGGCTAGCTGGTCTCTGTCTTCCTCCTCCTGCACTGTGCTGCCTGGATGTTATTTGATTTTCATGAGTCCTAGGCATAAAACAGCTTTGGACACCAAGCCAGGAATCAAGCTAGGATGAACAAAGGATTGGCATTTTTCTCTGCCCCTGGTTGATAAAACACCACCACCACCAAGGTATCTCTTTGTCCATTGCAGGGTTAGGGGGGTGGTGTTTAGCAAATATTCCTTAGCACTGGTTCTAACTATTCATTGCCTAGTAATAAATAACAACTTTAAAAATTTCATGTTACAGTTAGGTGTCTGAAGCAAAAACCCATACAACTTATTCTTGAAAGGTATGAGTTATAATTACTTTTATTATGATAAATTCCTCCACAAAAGGAACTTGAGAAAGGCAGAGATGATTTTCATTCACTCTAATATGGGTATAGTACATCATAGCAGGGAAGACTTGATGGCAGGTGCTTGAGGCAGCTTGTTAGACTGAATATACAGTCACGAACATGATGCATGCTAGTAAGTAGCTCACTTTCTCTCTTTTTCAATTTAGTCCAGGACCTTAGCCCATGCTGCACAGTTAAAGTGAGCCTTCTGACCTCAGCCTAATGCAGATAATCTTTCACTAGGACACAGAGATGATCTAATTCAGAACATTCCTTACAGGTATGTCCAGAGGCTGACCTAAACTGAAGAATTCTTCATAGGTATGCCATGAAACCTTTTTCTTAGGTGATTATAGATCCTGTCACCTTGACAATGAATATCAACCCACAAAGAACGGAATAAACAGTTTTTAAGTTCTATTTTATAGGAGGATTGGACATATTAATCATGGTGGGCTGCTTATTCTAGTCCTTTCTTTTCATCACAACATGTTGGAATCTGCAAAATGGGGCTAAAAGGCAGACACAACCAAAGAAGAGCTGTGAAAAGAAAGATATTAGAGTTGTAGTCCAGATTGCTTGCTCATTGAAACAATGTCTTAATCACAGTGAAGGCTGGTAGTAGCTATCCTTAAATTCTGTATGGTCAGAGAACAACTCATTTCTATTTATTCTCCTTTAATGGCCAACGTAACAGTATTTCTTGTAGTGTTAAATCTGTGTCACATACAATGTAAGTGCTTCATAAAATTAGTCTTCCATCTGGAAATCCAAGCATCTACATCTGCATTATGGTCTTAATTTGAGTAAGGAGAAAAGCGAACAGTTGGTTGAACATGGTCATTACTAATAGGTCACAGAGCATCTTTACCACTTGTCTACCTCATTCTGTAGCCCATGCAGCCCATCCTATCTAGGTCCAGAACTCAGTAAAATGTGTAGGAATGTAATCAGTAAAATGTGCTTCCTGAGCCTGTCTTGTTTGACTTATTTTTGTGCATAGTTAAAAATTATTTTTGAATTTAAAATTCAATGTCACATATTATTAGTTTTTTTCTTTACAATAGATGTTTCAACTATTTTAAAAGTGACAAGGATAGAAATATTGTTGCTCATCTAATTATTCTTAGTAAGTTCAAACAGTTTTTACTATCCTTGTTGTACTTCTGTATATAAGCAAAAATCCGAGACTAGACTGATTGGTGTGAAATACTCTGATTATTTATCCTGTGAATATGCATATACACTATACATAGTAACAGTAAAGGAGCCCTCAGCACACAGTCTACAAACATGCAGTTTCCAGTCTGTGAGTTAATTACAACTGATGTAGTTGGCAAGGTGGAACTCTAACACATAACAGAAATAGTTTGCATTATCTCTTCATGACATTTATCATAGAAGCGTAAAGAATACACATTAGAAGCAGTGAAACATTATTTAGCTAAATAATTTAGACATAATAGTGATATGTTTCTCCCTTCCCCTCTTTTCCTAGAGTGCTCAAATTACTTCTCTTTTCTTTGACTCAGTTCCAAAATGCTACATTTTTCCAAGTTGTCAAAACAGCTTGGAAAAACAAAACAAAACAAAACAAAACAACCCCATAAACCTTGCTACCTTTGTGCTATGCTCACAGGTGCAAGGATTTTGCTTGTGCTGGCAGTAGGCTGAAATGCATAAAAGGAAGAAAACTTCGGTAGACATAGAAAAAGACGTAGTCAGAAACAATTGGCACTCCCTGACAAATGTTTTCGTGTGTTATCTTCATTCCTTTTCATAATTATATCCACATAATGTGGAGATTTATTGGATATTTTCTGTCATCTTGAATATAGGGCATATAAGCAAATTGACACAGAGGTGGGCAAACAGGCTATCAGGAGACTTACTCAAAAAATCCTAGAAATCCTCAAGTCTATGTCAGAAAGCTTTGCTTTAGTGATACAAAAACCTTTATCATTAAGTTTCTTTTTATCCATCCTAAAAAAAAAAAAAAAGAGCAAGTCAGGTTTTGAAGTGTCTTAGGTCTCTTTGGTACCCCAGAACAAGCAATTGCTCTCTTCTTAAGAAGTCTCTGACTGTAGCTGCTCGATATCTTATCTGCTTGAGAAGTTCCAGAGAACACACAGATATTATTCAAACCACATGGCTCATTCTACCTTCTCTCCTGTGCTACTGTTGTTGTTAATTTGAGTAATTTCTCAGAAGATTACATTAATGGGTAATCTACTTACTTTTGAGAATTGTACATTCTATGGGTTTCTGACATGTTCAGTCAGAACCACATGCTTTCCTGATTATGTCTGGCCATTCAGCAGCTGATTGCCATGAACATGAAGATCTACACATAGAAATAGTACCGAGGGATGACACAGATCTTCTGCCATGTTATAGCTGCTGAGTTTTGTATCATGAGAACCTGTCACTGTAAGATGCTCCCTTTGCACTGGACTGCCACATTTCCCCAGTGTTGATTACTGCCCTCAACCTTGGCAGAACACTCTGTATCTTCCAACTCCTTTTTCTATACATGACAGAAGAGACCTAACAATGACGCCCTATCTGAAAGAAGCAGGACACACAATTCATGTTCTCATTCTCTTTTCTTTTCTTTCCATATTGCATTCTGGTAATAGGCTGAATATGAAAAAAAATATAGAAATCTAAGGATAATGATTAAAGCACTTTAAACCTCTACTCATGGAAAGAAGGAAATTGCATGTTTGATCTGTCTCTTGGTTCTATAATTAAATCTTTTTTTGAATTATTATAACAATGTACTTATGAGAATTATTCTGTCTTTTCACTCTTAAGAACACTTTACAATTAAACCTATTGCATTTTACGAAGATTTCCCATTAAGGGACATAATTTATTCTTTCTTATTCATGATATGTTTCAACATCATTCTTGAAACTAAATTAATTGCATTTTCATGTAGTCAAACGTTTTTGTAAGGATTCATGTATACCAAAGTAGATCATTCTGATTCCTGACAAGTATGGAAAATGTAATGGAAGAATATTTTGTTTGGTGAGTAAGTTTGTTGATGTGAAGATGCTTGTGTGTGTGTGTGTGTGTGTGTGTGTGTAAGCTAGAGCACAACTTTGGATGTCATTCTTAAAGGTTCTTTCTACTTTGTTTTTCTTATCAAGTAGGTTAGTCTTGATAACTTTAAAATGATTCCTAGCTTTTCTAAAACAAAACCATTCTTGAAATTTATTTACCTTCCATCTTCTCTGAACCATGTAAATTGTTTCCTTTGTGAATGCTAATATTTTATTATTTGGAAAACATAGGATAGTTATGACCAAGATTGTGACCAGTGACGTTTGTGCTTAACTTAAAGCATGACATCTTCCTGTCACTGTGGAAGAATCTCTGCTGCATATTCTAGAATGAATTATGGTTTCCCTTGACCAGGTTGCATCTAGCAGGGGAACACAATTAGCAACCACACAATGGCAAGTTTTCCATGGTTTCTGTATTCATTTATTTTTTAAACTTTGATATGTGTGTGTGTGTGTGTGTGTGTGTGTGTGTATTCTGACTACCAAACCAATATTGGTCTTGTTGGGAAATGTTCCAATGCTTTTGAGCTAAATTTTCAAACTGGGATTTCTTTTTTTTTTGAAGTGAGAATAAAATCAAAAGCTATAGCTTCGGGAGTTAGTATTTTAATTTAACACTATGATATATTCATGCTGTTATATCACTTGTCTTAGAGACATCATGAGTTCCCTCTAGATTTCATTCAGCAAGAGTGAAAGATACAGTTTCATCATGAAACTGATTTGACGCTTTAAATTCAGGTTAAAAAAAAAGCACCTGCTTCTGGGCTGATGGTTTCTATAATATTTTTTCTTTCTATATTTTATAATGATATTTGTATCATAGAAAAGATGATTTTTATGTGATTATCATATAGTTTTGAGAATGTAAAATTTCAATTTAATGTATATTTGTTTGCATAACTATAGATAAAATAGACAGTGTTGCATCAATACAGAGAGATCCTGAGCTCAGCAGGTTTTTGGAGGCTTTGAGAGTTTAGAGGGGCCCTAATCCACTATGTATTGAGTTTTCTTTAAGACATTTGCAACAAAGGGGTTTCTATTCACTTTAATAGAGCTTTGGCAACTGACAAACCTAGTTGGGAGGTGAAGATTAGTGATGAGTATATGGTGACCATAGGAATAATCTTCCAGAATATCTTGTCAGGATGGAAGGTGATGTTTGTGTCACTATTCTAGAGGAGTGGAGAGAGAGAGAGAGAGAGAGAGAGAGAGAGAGAGAGAGAGAGAGAGAGAGAGAGAGAGAGCGCAGATAGGTTTTCTGTGTGAGGTTTTGTTCACATAGATGTTGAAGGTAGAATAAAGAGCTAATAAAGAGATTAATTTTATGCATTTTAAGGCCTCTAGTGACATTCACTGATGAGTCCACTGCGTAGCTCAGAGCAGTCAGCATTTAATTAAACTGCAGTGGGCAGAAGGATTATACTGTGATTTCACCTTACATAGGTACATATAATAAAAACATACTGACAACATGACTACGGTGTGAATGAAGATTAGGACCCGCTTGAAAACCTGCAAATAAGGAAAAGAATCTTCACTTTCAGCTTTAGAAAACATCACTGACATGTAGAATATTATTCCTCTTCAATGGGAACTATTTCATTATGGATTTACTTTCATTTATTTATGTTGCTCATTATGATCTAAGGAGTCTCGGTAAGACAAGGCCCTGACTTTCAACTCCTTGGCTTGCAATGGTTCTCTCCCCCCCAGATCTTCTTCAGGTTTACTCTATGA